GTCAGCAAAACTTGAAGAGTGAATTTAAACCATTCTTATGAGCTGAGAAGTCAGTTGATGATCTTTAGGAAAATTTTCATTGCATATTCTTCAATTGAATTATTTATTGTACCTACTTACCTATGTCCAACGTATAAAAACAATAAATGTGTTGTTTATTCAGCTTTTTGATGTTATCAGTGGTAATATAAATAGCCTACGATACAGTCTACTCAAGCTAAATAAACCGATTAACCGCTTCTGTGGTCTAGTGGTAACACCACCTGCTTCAGACGCAGAGGTCCCGGGTTCGATTCCCGGTGGGGGCAGATTTTTCTGCTCGGTTTGGTTGGTGGTAGGGCTTGTTCCGGTCTTTGTGGAAATCCTTGGGGGAGGCCTTTGTCCAGCAGTGGACGTCTTTCGGCTGAAACGAACGAACGAACGAAGGGCTTGTTCTAAGTCCGCCTGGCTAGCTACCACCATCTTACCTAAGTCTGTCGCCATAACAACAATGATAACAGCATTGTTGTGTTCCGGCAGTTAGAGGTAAGATAGCCAGTTCCTCCGTGGTTGAGGATTCCGGGTGAAGCTCGCTTCCACCTTCGGCCTGATCATCACCAACCATCAGGTGAGATACAAGCCAAGAGCTTCCTCGTTGTGGATAAAAAAAAGAGAGACCATAAAGTGGTGAGACTATAAGTACTGCTTCAAAGTACACTGTGGCATCAAATCCGGCGCAGGCGAGCGGTCGCTATAATAAGCTATAATTACGTTATCTGCTGTCCTTGTTGCGTCCTTGCTTTCACTGATAACGGCTGATTCTTATATAATATCGGCCTACTCGATTAAATCTTTTAAAGGTCAATCTTTTGTGACCCCCGCCTCATTGATCCAAATTGTGACAGCGTGTGACGTTGGATATCGATCACGGACTGCCGTCAATTAAAATTTAGTGACTGGTAAGGACTTTAAGATTTATGATGATAGGAGAGTGACTATTAGGACATCAGCTGTGAGACATGGTAAAATAGCATTGTCGGGAAACGCTACTCTTTATCCGTAGTGTAATATGCAAAAACACGGCATATAAATACACACTATGGCATCATGCGTATGAGTGAAGGTGCTATTATGAAACCAAGATTTTTATATTTTATTTAAGCTTCGTTTATCCCTCATCTATAGCAGTAGATAGAGTAGCTCAGAACTTAGATAGGGACGGTGATTATTAGAAAAAATATTACACCATAAGTGATGCGTGTATTACTGACGATATCGCGGCCAATTTAACACTATTTGGCTGTAAGACCCCTGATCACTGATGAATCAATTTATTTACACTACTAAGAAACCAAAAATGGTTGACTAAAAATCAAGAAAATCTATAAATCATATCAAATTCTTGTACTTACTTTTTAATGAAGAATGTTCACGAATTTTGTTTTTTAGCTTTCTGTATTCTCTGTTAAAAATAAAAAATACACGTGAAAGAATTATTTCGATACGTCAATTAGTTTCCAAGATATTGAATTTTAAAAGTGCGGGCGGCAGCCGGCCCGCCATTTTATGCGCGTGACGTCATATTACAGTGACTGGCTCATATTTGTATGGGTGGAATCTTGCAAGCTGAATTAAGAACCACTTCCAGGCAACCGATTAAGCTGAAATTTCGCAAACACATGTGATTTGGATGACCATACAATATTATGATGACATGGAGCTGATCTGATGATGGAGCTGGAAGGTGGCCATAGGAACTCTATAATAAAACGACTTAAATCCATCGAGTTTGGGCTCGTTCGTTTTGTATTGATGAGTACTTTCATTCTACATAGTAATCAGGGTCTAATGATGGAGCTGGAAGGTAATTCACAATAAAACGACACAATCGCAACAAGTTTGGGTTTGGTTCAATTTTAATTTCTGTGATGGGTCTGGGTGTTAATATGTATAATAAGTTTGTATTTACAAAAAAAATGTATTTAAGTATGTTTATATCCGTTTTCTAGTGAGCGGACACTGTGAATGTACGTCACGCGGGGTCACGTGACCGTCGGCGGAACTCAATATTTAAGCGAACTTTGAATGCCTATAAAATCATAACTACTGGGTATTTTTGAATGAAATAAAAACTAATGTATTTGTAAATGTAAAAGCCTAACTGGAACATAGGTTTCAAGTGATTTTGCATACCTAGTAACATTCTCAATTAAAGGTTTTGCAATACAAACAAAGTAGCAAGCTATAATTATTGCTTGTAGATGCTTATCAGATCAAGCCACAATTATATTTTTGTGAGTATAAGTGACTTCAAAGCCAAAAGTGGTTTGGTAATAAATCTTTAACTTGATGATTCTCATGTCAATCAACACTGCAGGATTCTAGTTTTTAGGTAAATCTCAGTTGACATTATGACAGCCGCGACAAAAAATGATCTAGTTTCTCATAACTCCAATTAAAAGTGTGCAGGTTGACATTATGAAATATGCCTATTTTTGACTTGATGGTAATAGTGAGACATACATAAATGCATTATTTTCTTAGTATTTTATACCGTAGATATTTGAGAAACAGTGTGTTACATAATTTTCAAACATTTTTCATTCAAAGCTACAGCAAACTAGCAAACTAGCCCGTTAATTTTACACAACTACTCACACTTTATATTTCTTTTTTTCCCTAAAACCCTTCGAGAAATTACCTAATAGGTACAGTCCAGGTTTAGAAAACGATATGCCACGAAGTTACACATCACAAAGTATTAAGTTAATTGCAATGACAGTCAGCGGTGCGCGAGCGCATGTCGCTGTCAGTGTAAGTAACGCTCGCCGATTAAACCTAATGCGGGGCAGTAAGTTTGCCCGGCCCTCGTCAAAAGGCATTTGCCGACTATCTAGAAAGACTACAAACTGTTTTCGTAACGATACGGCCACACTTAGAAACTTTTGGTGTAGATATGGCCACACTGTATGTATACTGTGCGGTGCGAAGATGCACTCGTCCTCACGTCAGAACTATATACAAAGCTTCGCTATTTTAATAGTTGTGACAAAACGCTCGGTAAAAATGCCGGACTCGGGATAATGTGAATAGTTTTATATAAATTCTGCACCTACTAGCCCTACCGGCAGTTTTACCGGACCGGCGTAGTGGCTCTGGTAAAGGTGTATAAATAGCGGAGGGAGCCAAATATACATCAAGAGATGATCATCAAGAAAGAAACATTTCCAAATGTACAAGACTTACCTGTTTTATCAAGCGTCTTCGTCGTTTCAGCCAAAAGATGTTCCACTGCTGGACAAAGTCACCAAGAATTTCTGCAGTCCGGTCTTGCGCTGCCCGCACCCAGGTGCATTTTCCAGATCGTCGGTCCACCGAGTGAAAATTACAACAGGTTTTTCAATGTAAAAAGATATTCACTGGATTAAAACTTTTTTATAGTCAAATAAGTCACACAGCTAGGACAGCTAAGGACACTTTAGTTAGAACAACACTCACTGGTACTAGTATGACGATAGAAATAGACCATCAGGTTAGTATTCGATGACTAAGCTGACAAGAAGGTTACTTCGAATCTGTCAATTAGGCTGACGTGCAGTGAAGATTGCAAACTGGTTTCACCGCATTACTTTCTCGGTGTTCTACTATTATACTTGTGTTCCCACCTTAAAATTTTATTATTAATTATTCAAAATTTATTTCTTGATAGAAGTGTACCTAAGTCACCAAATTAAAATTATAAAAAAATACGGTCGTCTTTTATTTTAACCTAACATTTGTAGGTCCTAACATTGACTGTAACAGAAAAAATAATATTAGTAGGCCTATTTTTTTATTTTGTTTTTATATTATGCAACTGTCCGTTATCCGTCCGTTGTCAATACGTTAGCCAGAAAGCCTTAATGACTAAGTATGATAAAATAAAAGAAGCGTTCAGATTGTACATTTTTTATTTTCCAATGCATTACAATACCCATATCTCTTAATAGAATAACATGAATATTGAAAGTGTTGACCATCGGCTTTAATTCGTGTGACGCTAAAATCCTTAAAATTAACTAACGTCTCAAAAGTGATATGATAGTACAAATATCTAACGCAGAATATTTTGCTTCTTTACTTTACAATAGTGAAGGAAAAGTCACAATATACAGTATATTAAAAATCCTATTTTACAATGATGTTGCCAAATAACTTTAAAATGTTCAAGAATGCAAGATATTAACTCCTTTTCTAATGAAAAATGTGCAATATTTTGATTTTAGGAAACCGTGTGAAAGTTTATGTTACACATTTTTATTATTCAAGGAATTTATAGGAATTGCGAAACTTACACTACAGTTATTGTAATAGGTACTGTTTATCTTAATATAGATTTAATTATAATATCTAAATCTTTGAGCTTTTCTCTAAGACGTGATATGCTTTTCGTGTCAACTTTTCTTGAATCTACAGTGTAAATAACAATATTATAACAAAAATTTTATTAAGGAATTGCTTTTGGAGAAAAAACCTTCAGATAAATTAAATAGACGTACAATTTTTTTGCTACAAAAATATAAGTTTTTTATACCAACATACCGAATTTCATTTCATTATCTTTTTTAAAGAAAACTTTGGTGAGTTTTTTGACTAAACGAGTTACGAACGCTCCCGCGAATTTAAGCACTCATCGAATAAATAAAATAATGAATTTTAATTATTTTTAAAATTTAGCTTTAAACAGTGAATCGACTTACAACAACTATATTTTACAATTTAACAAACTTAGCTACAATACAATTTATAATATTTACACTCTCAAAACGTCTACATTTTAAATCTTATATTTAAGCTAGGAACTAAACATAACATATTTCATATTTAACAAAATTACCCTTAACTAATTAGTTTTTGTCATGTTAGAAATATGCGCGTTTTTGCTACCAATATTAGGTGAATGAATAACATTTTATCTAAAGTGTTGCGAATTCTATACAGTTTTAAAGTTTTGCGAAACTTTGCAGTACATTTTCGTGAACAGCATAATACTACTTACAATATTGCTCTCAGTTTCAACGATAGAGAGTTACTATACGTACTCGTAAACCCGCTAAATTAGACTCGGCTTTTGCAACTTTGAAACTGAATAAATAAATATAATTTAGGTGCGTTCGTCTCCCAACGAAATAGGGATGGGGACGAGGCAATTTGCTTCAGATAATTTTCTCACATTCAAAGTTCCAAAAGCAGCGAGTCAGCACCAAATCGACGCTATTCGAACGGCTGAGGCCAGAGCGGCGGTGGGGGCAGCGGGTACATCGGGGGCTATGTGGAGATCGCCAGCGGCGGCCGGTGGCCGTGCGCCGGCCCGTGAGGAGACGTCGCCGGGGGAGTCCCCGCTCCGGGCGAACAAGTCACCTTCCCCATGAACGAACGGATATCATCGAAGTACGCATCCTCGCGCTCGGTATCCGCCGAACTCGGGGAATCCCCGCCCTCCGCCTCGTGCTTCTTCAGATGCCGGTCGAGGTTCGTCTGCTGCCCGAAACACCTATCGCACAATGGACATCGAAAAGGCCTCTCCTTATTATGGATGTTCCGTACGTGTCGCTGTAAATTGGACGAAATGGAGAAGGAGCGCTCGCAATACTTACATTTGTAAGGCTGCTCGCCGGTATGGGTCCTGAGGTGCCGGGTCAAGTTCGCACTTCGGGGGAACACCTTCCCGCAGAATTTGCAGGCGTAGCGGTCTCGTAGCTTCCCAGATCCGGTGCTGAGCTCACGGAATTTGGCGTAAGCGTTCGTTTGCCGGTCCGGCCCATCGGTGCCAAGAAGTGGGGATAAAAAATTGAACGGGCTCGGAACGTACGGCGAGTGGGATGAGTTCAGAATCTCTGACGAGTGAAAGGACGGAAATCGTGGCCGATACATGGCATCGATTATGTTGTTGTGCTGTGGATGGACGGGCATTGGGAATGCAAGAGGGGGTGACACTAACGGAGAATCTTCACGCTTCGGCTCTACGCCTTCAACGTCTACGTCTGTGGTGTCATTTTCTGGAGTCTTGCTACGCTCGATCGGGCTCTCTGGTGGCGAATATGATTTAACCGAAGAGTTGCGAAAGGAACGATCATCATTATCAGCTTCAGATTCTTTGTCACTTTTGCGTGATACTGACAAGTCCAAAGGCTGATCACCTTGATCCTTCTTGGTATCTTCTTCTACATCTGAATATTCAGAGTTCTTATCATCATTGTGAATGTTCTTGGATAGATCTTTAGGAAGAGATGGAGATACTGATTTGTTCCTCTGAACAGCATTGTTGTTAAGTTTCAGTGAGAAATTGAAAGGTGATTTTCGCTTCATTTCATCCCTTGTGAAATTGAATGGTACAATCGGGGTTGGTACGGACATCACAGGTGATGGCCGGTGTTGTGATAAATCATCAGTTGAATCGGGAGATTGTTTAGTATATGCTGGTCGTGGTTTTGGTGTAATCCTGTCCGAGTTTTCATTAATCCTTGTGGTATCAAACTCCATGTCCTTGCTTTTCTTGGTTTCATCAAGAGAATTTGAGCTGTCGATACTTTTTACGGACATACGTCCTTCTTGTTGTTTGGATGCCATATTAGCGTTTGAGAGAGCAATATCGTGTTCCATGGCCAAGCGTGCGCCTTGGACATTGAATAAAAGAGGGTTGAATAGATCTGGCTGACAAGCGGCAGCAGCAGCCGAGAATAGAGCTGGGTAGTGTGCGAATGTGTTGTAAGGGAGCGGTAGCTGCGGTCCCCTGTACAAGGGGAACGGGTTAGCGTTGTTGTGATTATTCATTGCCACGTTTGGCAGCGGCGGTATCTGGGGAAGTCCTTGAGGCATTTGTCCTCGCAGATTTACTGATGCTGCTGCAGCAGTTTCGCAGAACCGCTTGTGTTTAGTCAGCGAAGCGTAGGACGTAAAGGATTGTCCGCATTTGCCGCACTCGACCAGAGCTCGGCAGGCGACGTGCATCCGCTTGTGCCGGCACAGGTTTGAAAACTGGGTGTACGACTGAAAATGATAAAAAAAACAATGGTTAAAACAACAGAATTGTAAAAAAAAATAACCAGGACAACAATTTTTACTTGATGAATTTGTAAAAATTTGTTACGAGTAATAACTTACAAAGTTAATATCATTGCATTTAGATTAACTGCTAAAGCAAAACTAGATGAATATGATTTCAAAATAATTCTTCATAAAGCATAGCTTTATTTCACCGGGTAAATCACCATCACTTCCCGAGTAACTATCTAAAAGGCTCTGACAGATTAGCAGAAAGATAATTAGAATCCGCAATAAGCAGCTGATGCTCAACAAAAAGTAGCTAAAGATACTGACCTTGAAGCAGACCTTGCACTGGAAAGGCTTGACGCTGGAGTGGATATGCGTGTGCTGCTTCAGGCCGGAGGAGGTGGCGAAGGTCTTCCCGCACTCGGGACACGCGTGGCTGCGGGCGCCGACGTGCTGCGCGCGAATGTGGCGCTGGAGGTTGGAAGGATCGGTAAATACCTGAAATAACATCAGGTTTCGGACAACGTGAAACGCTATGTTACAACGTCACTAAAGGAATACTACTATTCAAAAAACTGAAGAGTGTAAAATGAGAAGAAAGGACATTTTTGAATATAACATTTATGTGAATAAAATATTTGTTTTTGAGTTCCCTGCATTTGTACATCCTTCAGTTTCTTTCGATATCTACCTTAACTTTGTATTTAAATCTAATGTTGTCTTCTGCGTTAATGGTTACTTAAAATTCCTTATCCTTGAGACTAATCATGGTCCTCTAATTTTGCACTTTGCTGTGAAGCCTGCACTAATTTTAGGGGATTTTTCCTAGTGCGCGCGAGCACGTAATTTGAAATACTCTACAAGACTATGACGGTATGGGTATATGCTCTTTAAATCTATGGTTTTAAATTCTCTATTCAACTGCGCAACCATACAAAAAATGCACACCTTAGGGCAGTTCTCGCACGGGTATTTCCCGATATCTGTGTGCGCGAGCGCGCGGTGCGAAGCAGCTCACAGTGGAACGCATTGTTTTTGTTTTTTACTATTATTTACGACTACTTTTGTTTTCTGCATTTATAACTTAATATCGGTCTTATGTTCTCTAACCTATGGTTGAAATTCTCTAGTCATCTACAAAGAGTGCACACCTTAGGGCAGTTCTCGCATGGGTATTTCCTGATGTCGGTGTGCGCGAGCGCGCGGTGCCGAAGCAGCAGCGCTCGCGAGCTGTATGCTCGGTTGCACAGCTCGCAGTGAAACGCATCTTATTATGGTCTTTAAATTTTATAGGCTACTAGCTTTCCGCCCGCGGCTTCGCCCGCGTGGAATTTTGTCTGTCACAGAAAAACTTTATCGCGCGCGTCCCTGTTTCAAAAACCGGGATAAAAACTATCCTATGTTCTTTCCCGGGACTCAAACTATCTCTATGCCAAATTTCATCAAAATCGGTTGCGAGGTTTAAGCGGGAAAGCGTAACAGACAGACAGACAGACAGACAGACAGACAGACAGACAGACAGACAGACAGAGTTACTTTCGCATTTATAATATTAGTTGGGATGGTTGAAATTCTCTAGTCATCTACAAAGAGTGCACACCTTAGGGCAGTTCTCGCATGGGTATTTCCTGATGTCGGTGTGCGCGAGCGCGCGATGCCTAAGCAACAGCGCTCGCGAGCTGTATGCTCGGTTACACAGCTCGCAGTGAAATACATCGTTTTTGACTACTATTATTTACGTCTACTTTTGTTTTAACTTAATATCGGTCTTATGTTCTCTAACCTATGGTTGAAATTCTCTAGTCATCTACAAAGAGTGCACACCTTAGGACAATTCTCGCACGGGTATTTCCTGATGTCGGTGTGCGCGAGCGCGCGGTGCCGAAGCAGCAGCGCTCGCGAGCTGTATGCTCGGTTACACAGCTCGCAGTGAAACGCATCTTATTATGGTCTTTAAATTTTATAGGCTATGGTTCAAATACTCTAGTCGTCTACAAAGAGTGCACACCTTAGGGCAGTTCTCGCATGGGTATTTCCTGATGTCAGTGTGCGCGAGCGCGCGGTGCCGAAGCAGCAGCGCTCGCGAGCTGTATGCTCGGTTACACAGCTCGCAGTGGAACGCGCCGGCTGGCTGCGCGTGCGCTTGGATCAGGTGGCGGTCGAGCCTGGAAGGACCAAAAGATGTTATTGAAATTACAAAAATATTATTTTTTTAACGGATAGTTCAGAATCCTATGTTCAGAACCCGATGACCAGAACAATCAGATTAGAAATCCGAAATTCTGGACTATAAATAGTAGGCACATAACTTAAATGAGTAGTTAACAAGCTACTGGTTTATCGTTTCATTTCAGTTCAGTTCAGTTGTGTAGTTAAAACATAAATTCAATGCCGTAAAGGTACCTACTCGTACACTGTGTTATTAATTTAACAGATTAATTATGTCCATAGTTTTATTTAGTTCGCTATTCTTATTAGCTATAACGACTACAGCATTTAAAGTAATAAGTTTAGATAAGCCGTTTCTCGTGTAAAAATAATACTGGTAAGTACATAGATTTACCAATATATCTACGTAAGAACCTTCAAACAACTTGTCTCTGCCTGAGAACGATATCCTTCACATGATGAAATTTTAATAGCCTAATATACACCTTAGCCACTTAAATAACGTTTAGCAAAACTAGTACCCGCACTAAAGGTACCAGTTCCTGTGTAGATACCGTAATATTAAATACAAAAATATCAATCTCATTAAAACCACAAAATCACTACAGACATACTTATTACATGCAGTTGCAGGTCACATGTCAAATTTACCTGCCCTTTAAATAAACTCGACTATGCACCGAATTTCACAATTGACTTTTTAAACTACCATTAATCAATCATACTCCCAAAAGCTTAACAACCTGCACAATTATTATGATCCGCTATGTCGAAATACGTTACAGTTATTGATAAATAGCTCACAATTCTTAATAGCTACAATAGGTGTTATTAAAGTTACATAAATTTAACTTAGATTATTATAAAGATATCTTTAATTGCTATATCTTCGGCCGACGTTAATTTACGTTTTCAATCGAAGGTACGTATCACTTCAATCAACGTCTCTATTAGAAAGTGAGAAGCGCTAACTAACTCGAGCAAGTAAAACAACTCGGCGTCTAGCAGGAAAGACAAAGTCATAACATCTATATGCATCAGGATCGCCTACGCAGGAATAAGTTACGACCGCTCGCCCCATACATAATTCAAACATGTTTCGGTTCCACCGCAAATGTATGTATTCATTTTTGCAATAAATTCAGCATGTACACGTTTTATGAGCAAAATTTGCAATGTACGCGGAATAGCCAGGACTTTAATCAAATTCATCATCTCTATGCCTCAATGTAGGTCACGTCTGTGGCTGTATGGAGTTACAAATTCAAATTGAGGGTCAAGAAAATCCTGTTAGCACTGTCATAGTAAGTTACTCGAACATTTTGATGGAAAACGTATATCATTTGCAAAAACGGTCTCGGTGACTCTCCTTGGCATAACTGGTCTACCACACGCAACCCTCGACGCCTGCGGCGGTTTTCTAATGTGGCACCTGTTGTGCGTTGCCACACGTTAATTGGTGTTAGAGCTGATTACATCGCTGATTCGGTACGGTGTTGGGAGCAAAATGGTGCTGCGTGAGTGGAGATGTGTTCTGAGATACTCGAAAGCTCCTGCGACGTCAAGTAGATGAGATGACGCGTTTTCACTCTTGCGGACGGCAGGCCCGACGCCGTATCTTTTAATTAATCTCAGGAATAAAATCTACCGTCAGTAATGGTTCCGTCGCTTACATGCTGTCTACTCCATTGCGTAGTCGTACCAGTCCTACGCGGAGAGAGGAGAGATTTCGTACATCGTTAGATCGAGTGTTTCGTTTAGTACAGGTACTAGGTCTACGCTTGTTAGTCTAGAAACGGTCAGTTACCAGTATGTTAAGTGAGCCAAGTAATTTGGTCGATGTAAATTTTCACAGATGGCGTATGAATAAAATCGTGGAATTTGTGGAGATATACGAGTAAATTGGTGTGGTAATAAAATTTGTCTGACTGTAGCATTGATTGGTAAAGAATAAAAAGGTTTAATAGTATCGAGATGTAATTAGATGGATTCTATTAGATGTAGCTATCTTATAGAGGCACGCAATGCGTAGCCCGAGGGCTACTTTGCAAGAGGCGATATCTGCGCTGGCGATCTTCAGCAACCGGTCGTATATTTTTTATTATTACCGCAGCTGCATAACAACATCTAAGTAAACGTTTGTAACATGGATCGATTGTGTACCCTCTAATAGCATGTTGCGTAAGCCTTCAGGTGCACAATTGAAAGTGGCAGCGTATCTTTGACAACGGACTGGACCATTTTACCGGCGCTGGTTACCTTGCCGCCTTATCAGCGATCTCTCGTTTCTTTTTCAGTTTTGTTTTTGCTGTCCAATTTATAGATGGCGAATGATATTGATAGTGCGTTGTGTTTTGTTTTCGTTTGAATATTTAAATGAATACTGATAATTATCTGCCCGTTCCGTCATAATTGCTTTGATAAGAATTGGAACAATAGAAATTGAGTTGAGCAAAATGTATTGCAGATTTTGCATATCGGTAGATATACATAAATATTTTAAGAGTTTAGATTGTAGATAAATAAATGTATGACAACAAATAGACGTAGAAAAGTTCCATGAGTATCTACTATTGATTCAAATCAAAATTATAAGAAAAATAGACCGCCTTCCACGAGACATCGTGTGAGCTTTAAAAAAGCCCCATAACAAAATAACTTTTACACATGAACTCACACAGAGTTCACAAATACTCTGTAAACTCTTGTAACAACGTTCTCCAAATCAATCCACGTGCCATAGCAATCTATAAACCCAATTCTAATAGAGATTGCTCACATTTTCATTACAATTGCTATCAGATGCCGATAATCGTATAAGGTGTGACCTGACCATTCGGCTGCAGTGACGAAAGCGGTGGAAGAAAGAGATCCGAGGAGATTACAATTGGTTTCACAACCTGCGAGTAGGGTAACCAAGATTCGGATAAATAGTGGACTGAAACAAGTAGTTTAAAAAAAAAATTTTTTATGCACTGTACAAAATCAAATACCCTAACAAAATTTTCAGATTACGTCAAATGAAATGAAGTTTTACAAGATTATAGATTTTTTATGTCACGGTTAACAAATAAGTAAATAATGTCCATGTAAAGTCATTTTCAGCCATAGGTTTTTTGTCTAGAACTTCTATTTAAACAGTCAGAAAAACGCAAAATAGTCTTAGCAATTAAAATATAATTTCAGTTCTATTCCGATTTTTGTTGGCAAAATGTAATTTTAGGTTCTTTTAACAAACTCAATGTTTTACCTTGAATAAAAACTGAAGCTTGTGCAACCTTGTCCGCTTATTTTCAGAAGTGTGGTGACTATTTGTGTGATGCATTACGCACCAATGGGTATTAGGGACACGCGTGACAGTATTATGAGATATCGATAGATCAGCAGATGATGTATGTGCTCAATGGAAAACGTTTTGAAATCACCGTGAAGGTCTCGTATCATGTTATGCGGTAGTAAAGACAACAAAGAATTTAAAGTAACCTTCATGAAGCATTTATTGGCATTTGAAACTAAACTCATTTAAAATGAAAAAAAAACTGTTGAATTTTTGAGTTAATGATCTATAAGCTTGAGTAGACGAATACAATTGACAGCTTTTGTTTATGTTTGTAACAAAAAGCACAGGTAATTACCGATCGATCTCCGAGTGTCCTATAAAATGTTGGAACGTTTAAAACAATAGTGATGGCGCGATAAGCGAGGATACTTTGAACGGTGCATGTCGATAATCTCGAACGCGTGCATTATTGATGAGAACGACGCCGCTTCAATAGAATATGATGACACACGCCATTACGGCCTTCCACCGCTTGTCACATTGATAATAAATTCACTATACAGCCGTTCGTGATGAGGCTCTTAGTTTAATGCTCTGATTTTATCAGCGAAACTTTTACAAACAGCTGTTGGAAACCCATCGATATTGGGTTAATTTTGGAACTAACTACATTCAATATAAAAAACAAACGTAGCTTTGGATGTACTTTAAAAAATATGTTTTGCAATGCCATAGAAATATTCACATGTTTATTAAAGTTGATTGAAAATATTTCTATCGAACAGCATCAGGCAGTCGATGTTTAACATAAAAATGTTTTATGTAACGCGCTAGAGGATAGGCATCAGAATGTATGAGATGCCGCCGCCCCGTAACAAATCATCGTCGCGCTATCGAACGAGCACATCTCTACACTGAATAAATCGTGGACCGTTCCAGGCGGCCAAATGATATTAATGGCTGGAGGTTAATAGTTTGAAGACGTTTGAATTGATCGACTTCTGCATCTTTGAGTGGTCTGGTCCGAGATAACGCTTGAATGGTGGAGGTAAGAGCATAAGAACTGTTAGTAATTTGTCACGGCTCTCAGTGACGGTATGTGCAAAAGGATGAGATCATTTTTAAGTAATAATAACATATTATACGGATTACGGATGAAGAACTTTTTTAAATATTTGCGGCAATTTGAGCCTAATTATTATTAGCGTTTTTGTTTAGACTCCCAATTGGTATATTCGGGTTTAAAACCCACTGAGATAAATGTCTTCATAATGTGTACACTCATCGTTATAACGTTAAAAGTTTTAGGAAGAATCAAGTAAGATTCGGATTCCTCGTTGTGGTTAAAAAAATCTTGCCAAATTACAACCCAAAAAACGTTTTTTAAAACCCTGATTGGAAGAAATAAATTACTTTCATGACTTTCATTGTGGTGCAGCACTTGAAAGGCTTTTTTTACCTTTTGGCCAAAAACCACATTTGCTCGGGTAAATAATAGAAATATCCAGCAAATAAAGAAGGTAAATACAAGTACTTACACATCGATATTAGGGAAAGGCGCATCGCAGAATGAGCACCGGGGCTCGACGTCCTCACGCTCCTCGTCGTCGCCTGCCTGGGAGGAGTACTTGTTGCTGGAACTCTGGTGTTCTGGAAGTACAAGACACAATCTAATAAGTTTTTTTGATGCAGTAAAAGGCAAAGGCATAATGGTTATACAGCCATGTGTTTCAGTATACGCTTTATATTTCAATAAGGTCAGGTTTTTATGATAAAATCTTTGCTTTTTTAAATTCTTTCTCTACAAGCAAAAGGCGTTTAAATAAGGGTCGTTTTTTCTATAATCATAGAAATTTCTATAGTTGGAAAGCTAATAATTCAAATAGCTACAATTCTACAAATCGCATGATTTGTTTTAAAAGATAAATAATGTGCCGAAACCTTGTCTTATTTGCAATGAAATCGTTTCTTCACATCGTTAAGTATGTTTAAACTTTCTTGATTCGACACATCTAAATATTGTATGATATTTGATTTAACTGCGATATTTCAATACATAGTTGCATATTGACTCAGATTCACGGAATCACGAGTTCGGAAAGTTTATTCAATATCTGGTAGGTAATGGAATTCCGATATCAACATGGATTTCCAAATGCACCATCCGCCCACTCCTGAACGGTATGCCAATAGTATTTTGCGTACATTTCTCTGGATCGAGTACGACGTATTTGCAAAATTATGATAAATAGACAAATACAGGTTGTCAGACAAAGGCCTCCAAAAAAATTTGACAGTGGATTCATATATTATAATGAGTTGTTTTGTGAGTTTGTTTGTTTGTATCCTAATCTCAGAAAACTGGCCCGATTTGAAAAAATATGTATAGCTCATTTATCGAAGAAGGCTACAAGGCTATAAATATACATCATCATCACGCTACAAGCAATAGGAAAAGAACATCAATGAAAAAAGTTGCCGGAAAAAAATATTCAAACGATTTTTACGCATACGGAGTCGCAGGCACAGCTTGTTTATTGTATTTGCCAAGGGTAAGTTCATAAAGGTCTACTTTCCTCCCGAAGACGAGGATTGATCATTGGCTTCTTTATTCGCGAGGCGGTATGTAAATCATAGGAAGGCTGCAATTAAGCGCGCGCACTCGGATACATAACTCATCGCGATGCTCAAAGCTATGGAGCATAGACACGCGTAATTTGTTATTTATTCAGCTAGGGCGGTAACTTGGTTATGGCCATTGTCTTCTATGAATAAAGAACAATAAATATAGGGTGGTGAAGAACTAGCAAAAACTTAACAAGTACCTTTAATACCTTTTCAACTGTTTCATGATCTGAATAAAACAGATCATGAAACAGTTGAAAATCAGGATTATTTTATCGGGAAATTCATCATTGCATTTTTACGGTTCTGTAGTCCTAAAAAGAAACCCTAGTTTTGTCATTTTTTATTTAGTTCTAATTACATTGCATTGCTACATTCAAATGAGCTTTTACAAATTAAAGCTTATACAGTCAGTATTCTGCTCTCTCCATGAGAAAATTCATTAAGCATTATGAAAACGTGCTGGTTAACATTTTTAGAACCAGTAAAATAGAATTAGCATTTTCATCTCTATCCACCTCAGAAACAATTCAAAATCTATGACTTCCTCTAGCACCAAAGCTCTCAAGACAACGCAATGGGCGCTACATTATACGCGTACTGGTTCTAGAAAAGTAGCAATACAATTTAATTCGCTATTCAAATACATCGCTTGTTTCACACTCTGCCTAGGGCGGTGTTTGAAATATTTCACGAGTGTTGCTGGCATCATCGGCTAACGGCGCAAATCCGGTACGCGTCACGATCACTTAGCAATTGTGATCAGGAAACAATCAGTTTTATCTTCATCAGATGTCATAACTCTTGACTACACATGTAAAATGATACAGGTATTTTTGGACAGTCATTGATTGAGCTGTTGATTTTTGGTGGAAAATATTTTGTCAATATAAAGTAGACCGGTTAAGAATTACTTACTTTTAACAAAATGAGCTCAAACTCGCGTATCGATTTTGACTATTTTAATTAGAAAATTATGAACGAATGAATAATTATGGTACAATGTGTTGAATCAATATAAATTAGGTAACACCAATTTAAAGTATCTTCATAAAACGAACTCAGCTATAGGGACGTGTATAAGCGCCTGGAAAAGGCCTTAGTACTGAATTAAAATGATTTGATTTCATTCGATCTTTAGGTAACTTATTTAGTCTCCACTGCCCCTAGTAGAACACAACCCTCTAATTATCCGAAGGCATACGAAGTCGGCCTGCACAAAGACCTACTCGTAGATCAATACCTAAATGGCAAAAATCAATTCAACATCGAATAAAATCTGACATTTGAACATTGAAATGAGATGTGCGTTCCCTTCGAGAGGCCACTGTGGAAAACGAAGGTTTCGTATACATAAAGATTTAGCAGAACCTCTAAAACAAATGTAGCCAGAATTATAAATTTGTAGGTGTTGTAAGTTGGACGCTACAACTCGCCGAATGTGGTCCCTCAGATGAACTATGTCAAATACCAAATTACTGAATCTGACCAAATAAGATGATTTTGATGAATGGTAATATTTAGGAGGTAAATCGTAGGGCAACATACGAAAATAAGAGCTCTGGATAGTTACTGCAAATGAAGAAAATTCAATCTGACGATGGGCCCTCAGTTCCCCAGTGCACAAAATTTACTTTAATGCTACAAATTGGAACTTGAGACTAAGTTTCTTTGGAAAGGTTTTAATTTTAGCAGAAGTAGCCACAATGCTACCCTGAGAGTACAGGGTTTATATATTCTACTAGTACAGAATAAAACCTCTAGTAAAGTGAGCCCTCGGGCCACACGTTTCAGAAAAAAGTTATCATATTTAGAGACAAGGTGGAAGGTGTATTAATTTACACATAATAATATAAAAACGTAGTTATTTCGTAGTACAAACTTAAGTATCTGTGTGGTGTGTAAATATTTACTTTCTTGAAATAAAACTGATTCATTTATACGTGAACAAAATATTCGTATTAGGGTAACCACACATCAGAAAATTAACGGAAAGTGATGGAAAAAATAAATAAGTACACATTTATTTTATAAATTATTTATTTATTAGAACATAGAACGTTACCTTTTATAAAAACACGTAAACATAACGTAGCTCTTTCTCGCATAAATATTTATAACTTTGTACATTTTAAAGCATGTAAACCTTTGCAAAAGAGGCTGGCAATAGTGTGCGCTGCTTCTTCTCAGGACTGGCCCATTTATTGTCCTGAAGCAGTGGTAGGGTTAATACTGGGACGTGTAAAAGTGCTTTTTTAGCCTATTTACAGAAATAAATGAGTTTTATGAGTTTCTCCTAGAATCAAAACACTATGTGGTACGATCTGCACACTTGTATAATAAATTTAACAAGCTTATGAACTAAGCTTGCAAAATGAATCTTACGACTTTGCTGAAAACTTTGAGCTATGACAAGACTGAAACATTTTTACATGAAATAAACTAAGGCCCGGTTTTTTGATTCGTGGTTAAAATAGCCAACGGTCAAATTTGACAGATGTCAAATGACAAGTGGTTAAATTTCAGAAAAAAATGTTTTTCGTACAATGGTTAGCTCGACTTTTAGTACATTTTTAAATTATTTGTTTACATTTTGTTAATATTTAACCATTAGTGGCAAAATTTAACAATTAGTTATTTTAACTAAGAATCAAAAAACTGGGCCTAAGGTAAAGTTAAAAATTTAAATCGAATATAATTTACAATACAACGTGCTCCTTTTGTTTTCCGGAAATTTTAGGGGTATCCCAACTAATATTATAAATGCGAAAGTAACTCTGTCTGTCTGTCTGTCTGTTACGCTTTCCCGCTTAAACCTCGCAACCGATTTTGATGAAATTTGGCATAGAGATAGTTTGAGTCCCGGGAAAGAACATAGGATAGTTTTTATCCCGGTTTTTGAAACAGGGACCCGCGCGATAAAGTTTTTCTATGACAGACAAAATTCCACGCNTTAATACTGGGACGTGTAATAGTGCTTTTTTAGCCTATTTACAGAAATAAATGAGTTTTATGAGTTTCTCCTAGAATCAAAACACTATGTGGTACGATCTGCACACTTGTATAATAAATTTAACAAGCTTATGAACTATGCTTGCAAAATGAATCTTACGACTTTGCTGAAAACTTGGAGCTATGACAAGACTGAAACATTTTTACATGAAATAAACTAAGGTAAAGTTAAAAATTTAAATCGAATATAATTTACAATACAACGTGCTATTTTTGTTTTCCGGAAATTTTAGGGGTATCCCAACTAATATTATAAATGCGAAAGTAACTCTGTCTGTCTGTCTGTCTGTTACGCTTTCCCGCTTAAACCTCGCAACCGATTTTGATGAAATTTGGCATAGAGATAGTTTGAGTCCCGGGAAAGAACATAGGATAGTTTTTATCCCGGTTTTTGAAACAGGGACGCGCGCGATAAAGTTTTTCTGTGACAGACAAAATTTCACGCGGGCGAAGCCGCGGGCGGAAAGCTAGTATTCTATAAATAAAAACTAGTTAAAGAGTCTTAGGAATATTTGTTTCTAAAAGCATATTTTTGAAGATATTGTGGATTCTAGATTTAGAAGATACCTAGTTGATTTAGATTATAGTATCATCAATCTATTTCCTTATTTTTTTCAAAATTGTCATCTAGTCTTTTTGTGCAGACTTTTTATTGATAAGTGTATGTAAATTATGAATTATTTCAGTGAAAAATTAAGCTTTTAAATAATTTCGTATGAAAAAATAAGTCGCTATCCAATCATTATCTGGATCTGAAATTTATTTTATTTGAACAAAGACACATTTCAATATTACAATATCAGATAAAAAAAAACAGTTGAAAACACGCGACAAAAAAAAATTGAAGCAGTTTTGAGGTCAAATTTCGGAAGAAAATAATAAAAAAAAGTAGCTCACTTAGGGTCAAATGGACGAACTTGTATTCTTATAACACCGAAATAGTACAATTCTATCTATATATATCTATATATATAAAAATGAAACCCGTTTTCCGTTGTCACGACATAACATGAAAACGGCTTGACCGATTTGGCTGATTTTTTTTTGTAGTTTTCTAATACTCTGTACAAGGTTTTTACGGAAAAAAATATAAAGAAAATCTCTACGCTAAGGCGGTACGAAGTTCGCCGGGTCAGCTAGTAATAAATAAAAAGTAAAAAAACTAAAACCCAACTACGACAAAAAACGACGATGAAAAAGTATAAAACAAGATTTTCAGAATACTGAACTACAGTATTATGGTACCATCGAACTGGTCTGATGATGGAAGGTGGCCATAGGAACTCCTAAACGAAACGGCGGAATCGCATCGAGTTGGGGTTCATTGGATTTGTTTTTTCGATCACTTTAGTGCTAGATGATTTAGTGCAGTAATTAAAAGCGTGTTTTTAGATTTTTTTACTATTGATTGTAATAAATTAAATTTCAATGGAGGCATAGCTTAATGAATGTATAAAAATGGATTGGTCGAGTGTAATGTCAACAAATTTTAATTTTAAATCGTCATAAGTAATTACACGGTCATTTATGAATGCGTGAGATCTATAGTGACCTAGGCAATTAGGAGTAGCTCCTGGAATAAATTCAATTGCACCAATGATCTTATAAAATGTTGTTTTAACTTTAATTGTTCGTGGAATGTTGCCTAACTTTTGTTTCTCTGTCTGATTCAAATCAAAAGAAATTAATTTTGAAATGTGATATTTGTAANCACAAGATGTTGTTCTCTTTTATGAAATTTGTTAGTACTAAGGTTGAATTATTAAATAATCACTGTTAAATGTGATTAATTTATCACTTTCACCGCGACTGCCGGGAATTATTCATAATAACCGGTTATTATTAATAATTTTCATTTTATCACATTAACCGTAACATATATATTATAATCAAAAAATATTTTCTCAAATATGTTAGTAACATTACACTGGAAATTTAAAGACATAAGATTTTCAGTCACTCCGTCTCCACAATATTGTAAAACTATTTCGGCTCGCAGAATGTAAGGATTGGTACTTACGTCTTTGGTATCAATCAAGCATTTTATATACTTTGAAATTATATTATCCTCATGGCCATCAGGCAGTATTAAACTTCGAATATTTTCATTCTCAGTATATCCTACACATAAAAGAAACATTGCCGAATCAAAGGCGCAAGTATTTATCACACTAATAATTTTGTCCGCAATCTTTAAAGGTTGACTTAAGTTACCATTTTTAATAAACTTTATTTTGTTGAAACTTTGTGAAGAACTTTCTCTACCTTGGTCTCTCCAATTTTCAATGTAAGATGGGTTATCTGCAAAAATAGAATCCCTTGAAAACATTTGACTTGATTCCAGAGACACCTTTGGTTTTTTTACCATTTTACGGTGTGTCCGATTGCAAACAATTTTCCGCGTCTTGGTATGCTTTGGTCCACGTGAAAGTGTTGCTTTGTTTTTTTCGTTTAAATTCATGTCACTGAATGCTGATTTTATTTCCCCGTTCAAAAATTCTGAATGTACTTTAAAAAATTCGTCAACTCTATACCTTTGAACTTTTGATTTAAAAACAAGGTTCTTCAAAGTTTTAAAATAGCTTTCAACACCCGAAGAAGATGGAGCTTTGTTTTCTGAATTATAAATAGCACAGAGCAAATTTGACAACAGCGGTAATTTAACTAACAATCTTCTAAATGTAGGGATAAATGCTGGATAGTATAATAAATTTTTGTTCGTTTGTATGTTTTGGCCTTGACTCTTCAATTTTGTATTTTCGACAGCTTTATCAAACCAGGCAATAAATTCTAAATCCTCTGTACTATCATCATTAAACTCGTCTAATTCGCAACAGTCATTTTCAGCTTCGTCTGCAGGCATATCTTGGTCCTTCAGTTTTTCGAACAACCTTTCGATGCTTCTTTTAGCTGCTATGTATTCGCTGTCATTATCGTCATCGGTTACGCTAAGACTAACTTCAATTATATCAAGAATTAATTTTTTTGTAGCTTCAAAGTTCTCCATTTCTTTAATTAGTACGATGCACCGGATGTAGAAATATTTGATTTTGCTATCTATACCTTTCTTAAAACATGTCAGATTGTGCAATGTTTTAATAAAATGACTCGTATCCAGTCTAATAAAAGTATTGGGTTTATTTGAAGAGGGGCTTACCAATACACGGAACATTTTTTTTAAATAATCTTTTGTAGAACTGAACGCTGTAAAAGCATGAACACAAGCTAAAATTATTGCCGAAGAATCGTCGGTTATAATTTCATGTGGTGGACATGATATGAAACTTAACCAGTTTTTCAAACACTTTGATATGGATTGTTGATCATGTGCGTCTGTGATCATTTGAAATGTCGGCACCGATTTAAGTTTTTCATTAGCGGTAATTAGTCCTACATATAAAAATAACCTTTTTGTGGCTATTGTACCGTCAGGTAAGGTGATTTTTTTAAAGAAAGAACCTGTTGCATCTACTGTTATAGTGATTTTACGGAATTTCTGAAAATAACAATTATAATATTCAATTTGCTGATTACTCCAATAACATAAACGAAAGCTTGGGTGCACACAAAGCTCACGTATCACGTCTGCTAAATTATCTTCGCTTGGGGTTTTTGCCATACATAACAAAGACATAATAGGGTTTGTGTCACGTAATTGTCCCATTCTATTCTCATATCTAATTTTTCTAAGAGCACTCATACTTGGTACAACAGGGCAACTGACTTTCTCATCTCCCGACACAAATTTAGATGTTAATTCTTTATTTACCACAACCGCTGGTTTATAACGTAATTCTTTAGCCAACTGTTGTCTTCTGTATGTTGTTAATCTGGACTTGATTTTCGGATTATGTTTGAAGGATTCATGAAAATTACGAACTATACAGTTACATGTAATATATTTATCAGTTCTTTTGGAACTTGTGATTCTGATTCCAGCATTACATTGTGAACACTTTCCGATTAAATTGAAACTGTCGTCCCGAATACTACTTTTTCTCAATGACCACGTACAAGGTAACTTTGTTCTCATCCATATTTTTTCTTTGATCATGGAACTCCATTTAAATTTTGGTAAAGTTTTATACTTTTGATATGAACAACTATCAGACCTTCTCTTATATGCATATAATGGCTCAATTTTTTTCAAGTCATATGTGTCTAAATAGAACGAAAATTCTTGTTGTTGTTTAAATTCACTTTCTAATTCTTTGGTGAATGAATTATCAGTATCGGAATATGTACAGCTTATTGTATTAATTTCATCATTTGAATAGGCTTCTCTCTCCATATCAGTAAAAAGTAATTTCGAATGGTGCCGTTTATATGCCGAATATAAGGCTAATGGTGACATTTTGTGTTCTATTTCTCGCGACATGATAGAAAAAATTCTGTCTGAAGAACGAATCGGTCGATTTTTCGATTGGTCAAAATAAGCTGAGTTTCGTTGAAATAAATCTCTTATTTCTTCGTGACTTAACAATGGTTTACGACCCCTGCCTCCATGGCCACTAACACTGGAAAAACAAGATAAATATTGCGGCATTAGATATTGAGTCTAGGTACAAATGCTACGAAAAAAGTGTACCTACACAACCTATAAAAAAATTCAAGATAAAATATTGTTAAATTGTTCTATAGAGCATAATAAAAAAAATATTATACGGATAACAAAGTCACCCTGTATACCTATAAGCGTAAGTATTGGTAGGTACTTACATGGTCAACAGTAAAATAAACAACGTTGATAACAAATGCATCTTGTGTGCAATGCAAGATACTGATCACTGTTCAAAGAAATAAAATCACACTTTTAAAAATATTTGCCATCGCGCGTTTGATTTTCAACAACAACTTCAAAGAACCGTTACTGACATTGACATTGGGGGGCGCCACCGTCAATACCGGATCGCTGGTTCCGATTTTTGCCATGTTGGAAACTATATAGTTGATCGATAGTGGCGCCTCCCTGTCAATGAGTTTGGTGGGACAGTTCAGTGTACTTATTTCATAAAAAGTCTTTTTCACATTCGAGTTTGAAAGTTATAGAGACGTCCCATAACTAAACCATAGCACAGAATAAGTAATAGTACAGGTACAGAAGGATTACTCCGCAAGACGATTTAAATAAATGCGAGTCTTCCTACGACGCGATACAGTGGAATTCAGCTCGCACAGCACTACGTACCTACAATTTTATTCACCTACAAGTTTTATCTCTTTCTATCGCGTGCCTCTGAACTCTTCTTACGCTGTTAGGGTTGCTGTCTAGTGAAAAAATAATTAATCTACTTATTTGTAATGAGGTACGTATGTAGGTAAGTACGCATTCATTATGGAAAACCTTGGGAGAGGCCTTTGTCCAGCAGTGGACGTAATTTGGCTGAAACGAACGAACGCATTCTGAGCAGTAGTCATGGTAGGTTAGGTTCCTATACTATCCTAAAAATACCTACATGGCCAACATACCTTTCAGCATTTTTGGGAAGCGAAAAAAAGATAAATCCGGTAGATTTCTTTTCGAATTTAAACACCCGAACGCCGCACAATATTTCTTTCTCTTTATGTTCATTTTTAAATAATATTCTCTATATTATCTTCGATCATAGAATTACCTACTACAACGCACGCCAGCGTCCTGACGTGTCCTGTTATTACGGCTGATCATTTCATTCCTAATCATTGTTTATATTAACAATTTTTAAGCTTATTTTTTTCTCAAAATCAAATAGTTTTGTTTTGAGTATCCTAAAAAAATTTAAAATGTGGTTAACATACACAAAATTATTACGGAGAATTTAAGAAGCAAGATATTTCTTTAAATACTTTATATAGCAATGATATTTGAATACAATTTTAAACTGCAAATTTCGTACATAAAATGCTGTAAACTATTTTTATCAAACAATGCGTTGGGCGAGATATTTCTCATGGAATTGATTTTTAGCGTGTGGCCCGAGGGCTCACTTTACTAGAGGTTTTATTCTGTACTAGTAGAATATTTAAACCCTGTACTCTCAGGGTAGCATTGTGGCTACTTCTGCTAAAATTTAAACCTTACCAAAGAAACTTAGTCTCAAGTTCCAATTTGTAGCTTTAAAGTAAATTTTGTGCATTGGTGAACTGAGGGCCCATCGTCTGATTGGATTTTCTTTATTTGCAGTAACTATCCAGAGCTCTTATTTTCGTATGTAGCCCTACGATTTACCTCCTAAATATTACCATTCATCAAAATCATCTTATTTGGTCAGATTCAGTAATTTGGTATTTGACATAGTTCATCTGAGGGACCACATTCGGCGGGTTGTAGCGTCCAACTTACAACACCTACAAATTTATCGTTCTGGCTACATTTGTTTTAGAGGTTCTGCTAAATCTTTATGTATACGAAACCTTCGTTTTCCACAGTGGCCTCTCGAAGGGAACGCACATGAAATGCGCACGGGCACTTTACGACCACACGTCAGAACCTCGGAAGGACCAAACGACCCAAACGTTGCATTTGCCTTTGACACGTTGAATAATTTGGTCACGAAGAGACCCCGCCTTTGCCATTGTCTAACGAGACCGTGATAGTGCGGATGTAATGATATCACCGATAAACTATTGTTTGACATCTGATTTCGTTGCGAATTCAGAGCAAGTTTACGTCAGATGGTCATGATGTTACAAAACTAGCTAATCTAGCACCTAGGGGTTGAATCTAGCAAAGTTATCAATGTATTGCTATGGACAACTAAGGGCATTTCTAAATTAGACGTTTTGAACAGGACGTCATCCGTGCGTTGACAAGACCGCACGCGGAAAATTCTACGGAAAACTACGAAGTACCTATTTTTTTTTGTAATTGAAATAATTTTACACGATGTTTAAAAATCTGTTAAAATATTTCCGATTTAACATTAAATTCAAAATTAAACACAACTAAAAATCGTAATGCATTAAAAATTAAAATGAAATCTAATAAGTTATTTATGGCGTTATTTAGGAAAAACTACCATTGGAAAATATGGTGATTTAGAAATAAAACAACATTGATTTTTAAAATAAGATTGCCCTGAAGTGTGCCAATACTCCTATTCTAAAACGTACCTGCAAAACCGCGGCTCTATGTCAATGGTAACTCGAAGATACGCGATGCACCGGGATGCTCAATCGGAGCACTCCACAGGTCAACCGAACGGTATATGGTGTCAGTATTGTACTGAAGTGTTTGTTACAAATTATCATGGGGGCAGGTCACCCCCACCCCACCTGCGAGGGTTAACATGCTCACTTGACCCGCAACGTGTCGGAAAACTGGAAAGCATCTGACCGTGTCGATTGAATGCTGCGGTTTAAAACGTTAATGATTCATTTGAGGGTTGACTTTGGACAGATGTTGTGATTTGTAAAGTTCGCATGGCAAATGTGGCCAGTTTTGGGTAATTCTCATAGGATATACATTTTTTAAAGTTCATGGTAGCTTGATGTGATCTTCATTCATGCTACTATTCGTATTTTAAGTGAACTATACACACTCAACCGTTTCAAAATCAAAATGTAATGGGAAATTAATAAACTGGCTTCGTAGTTCATATTGTCATATACTTTCTATTTACTGAAAATTTCATAAAGAGTCACTTCTTCACGATTTTTTTTACATTTTGCAGGTTCTGAAAATAACTATTTCAGCAATAAAACTTCCACGGGCCTGAAGCTCTGCTAACACGCACACTGACAATTAAATGCTGATTGTTTGTTGATTCACAGAATGGCCCTAATCAATCAGTGCTCACTAATGTGTACTAGATTCTACAGCGAAGTGTTACTATGCATAGTTTCAATTTAGGTTTTAGTAAAGTAACTAATGTTGTTAAACCAGTAACATAGGTAGCAAAAAAATGCGTTATTGTTTTTGCGTATTAATGTCACATAAAAATACTAAAAGAACTTCTAGAAAAACGTAGAGACGCGTCTACAGAAAACTGTGTATGTTTTTTTTTGTACATGCGACATATCGCAACT